GAGTAAATGAGATTACAATAACTGGTATTATTTTAAAGCAGAAGTTTTAAAATAATTATTTTTCTACCAAGGATTGAACCCAGGGATGCTTAAACACTGAGCGACATCCCCAGCCCCCTTTTTTAAAAATATGTTTTTGGTTGTTGATGGACATTTATTTATTTTTAAATATTTTTTTAGTTGTGGGTGGACACAATTTTATTTATGGGGTACTAAGGATCAAACCCAGGGCCTCACACATTCGAGATGAATGCTCTACCACTCAGCCACAGCCACAGCCCCTTATTCATTTATTTTTATGCGGTGCTGAGAATTGAACCCAGTGCCTCACACATGCTAGAAAATTGCTCTACCACTGAACCCCCCTCATCCCTCCAGCCCCCCCACCCCCCCGCCCCCAGCCCTCTTATTTGCTATATTCTGAGCCGGGGTTTGTTTAATTGCTGAGGCTGACTTTGAATTTGGAATCCTCCCACTTCAGCCTCCTGAGCCATTGTATTACAGGCATGTGCCACACACCTGGGTTGATTGTTTTCTTTAATACAGTTTGGACCAATATAAATTAGAGAGTGAGGAAACATGGCCTACACATGGGACTGTACATTTTAATTTAACATTTCAGTTTGACTTGTTCTGTAAACAGGAAGGAAAATGGACAGATCTGACTATCTACCTGGTTCTTTTCCCTGATATTTTTCTTTTTTAAAAAAATGGTTATTCTAGTTGGGCATGCTGGCCCATACTTGTAATCTCAGCAGCTTGGGACGCGGAGATAGGAGGATCTGAGATAGAAGTTCAAAGCCAGCCTCAACAACAGCAAGGCGCTAGGCAACTGAGTGGGACCCTGTCTCTAAATAAAATACAAAATAGGGCTGGGGATGTGGCTCAGTGGCCTAGTGCCCCTGAGTTCAGTCCCTGGTACCACCTCCCCCCAAAAAACAAAGTTATCGTAGTCAGGCATAATGGCGCATGCCTGTAATCCCAGCAGTTTGGGTACTGATGCAGGAGGATCACAAGATCAAAGCCAACCTCAGCAATTTAGTGAGGCCCTAAACAACTTAGCTTGTCCCTGACTCAAAACAAAAAATAAAAAGGCCTGGGAATGTAGCTCAGTGATAAAGCACTCCTGGGTTCAATCCCCAGTACCAAACAAGCAATTAATTATTCAAGGGTTATTATTTTAAGCAGTTATTTAATGGCTAACTAATTCCCAAATGAAAAAAAAAAAAAAAAAAAAAAAAAAAAAACAGGGATCTTCCCCTTTAGAAAGCCCTAAAGAGGAGGGTAAACAGGGGGATGTTGACTTGGATCTGCCTCGGGGCTAATAAACAAGTAGTCACCTGAACCACTGCTTCATAGACTCTGCCCGACCATCCCCAGCTAGATGGGCCTCCTCCATATCTGTGTCCCCTGTGGTGTAATCTGTTGCTCAGTGTGTCATTTGATAACCTTCTGTGTCAGAGTATGTTTTGATTTTTGGTATTCTAAATCTGGTGCATGCTCCTACCTATGAAGACCTAAAATCTAGTAAATGATAATTATAAAATATTTGTTTTCTGCCTTTTAATGCATGTTTGTATACCTGTATATATTGTATGTCTACTTGTGTGCTTGTGTATATATCTGTATTCATGGTACCAAATTGATTTAGAGATAAAGGAGGGATGATCATTTTAAAAAACTGAATCTAAAAATGTCTCTTAGTGGGCTGGGGATGTGGCTCAAGCAGTAGCACGCTCGCCTGGCATGCGCAGGGCACTGGGTTCGATCCTCAGCACCACATAAAAATAAAGATGTGTCCACCGAAAACTAAAAAATAAATATTAAAAAATTCTCTCTCTCTCTCTCTCTTTAAAAATAAAAAAATAAATAAACAAAAATGTCTCTTAGTTCATTTGACTTAAATAAATCTTTGACAAATAAGTTAATTTAAAATTTTTGGTAAAGTCACAGTAAAGATGTTTTTAGAATTATTAACATGTTTTTGCCCAGATTACTACCAATCAGGATTACATTTGTCTCCATTAGGATGTTTAAAATATTGTGTTCATTGCTTTTAGGGATTTCATTTGACAAAAAATTAATAACTATTAACTATGCTTATCTGAGATCTTGGTTTTCATGGGTAATTTTAAAATAGGTGTTGAGCTGAGCATGGTAGCCCATGCCTGTAATCCCAGCGCTGACTGAGAGTGTCAGGCCGCCTCAAACAAAGGACAAAGGTCTATAGCTTTATGGCATCTGCCAGGTAGGTAAGAACTTGGTCTCAACGTTATCACATGTAGAGGTGGAATTTTAATAGTGTCTGAGCTGCTCTTTATCATATTTCTTTGTGCGGCCTGTGTCCCATTGCCATCTTAAGTCTCCACCTAGGGGTGTGCATTTTACTAAGCTAATAAAGTAAAGGTAGCTGCTGGGTATGTATGTGGCTGATCGACACGTGCATTTGCCCTCATCACCGGGAACTGCTCCTAATCATCTGAGAAAATCCCTAATGTTATCTTCAAAACCGGGCAGATTATTTATTGTCCTGTTTTGGTGAGTTGGGTTTTAGAGACCTTGGCTTTCTGAAGTTTCTGCTAACCACACAGTTTCAAAAGACTGAGCTGGCTTCTCGGTCTCCCATCTCTTGGTGTGCTCTCTTAATTCCAGAACTTCCACACTGGTCCACTTTTTTAAGTCCTGATTCTATAGTATGTCTCTTAACCCTGTAAGACTGTGCTAGCTTGTCTTTCTCAAGCCCACATTCAGGATCTTTCCCTGTTCAGCCCCACGTCAACCAGCCTTTTTTCCTTAAATACTATTCTCATTCTTAGATCTGTCATAATTTCCCCAGTGCCCCTCCTATGTTTATTTGATTTCTTTTTTTTTTTCAGTGCTAGGGATTGAACCCAGGACCTTGTGCATGTTGGGCAAATTGTACCATGTTGGGCAAATTGTACCACATTGGGCTGGGGATGTGGCTCAAGCGGTAGCGCGCTCGCCTGGCATGCATGCGGCCCGGGTTCGATTCTCAGCACCACATACAAACAAAGATGTTGTGTCCGCCGATAACTAAAAAATAAATATTAAAAAAAAATTCTCTCTTTCTCTCTCTCCCTCTCTCACTCTCTTTAAAAAAAAAAAATTGTACCACATCCCCAGCCCTCTCCCTCCTATTTTTCATGGCTCAGATACCACACACTGACTGAGAGTTCACCTCTTCCTTGACTTCAGACGCCTTCTGTTTTCTCTGGTTTTCTACTAAGCTCTCCTTCTCTTCCCCTCCCCATTCCTAATTCTCTTCTAGTTATATTCAAAACATTTTAAGTTTTAATTGATGTGTGATAATTGCACATATTTGTGATGCACAATAGGATACCTCTATAAATGTAAACAATGTGTAATATCACATCAGGGTAATCGGCATATCCATTGCCTCAAACACCTTTCTTTTGTATTGAGAACAATCAAAATCTCTCCATTAGCTTTTTTTTTTAAATTAAGGGTCTATAAATTTCAGCACATTTGGTTATTTTGAACTATTTAATTGTTGTCAAGCTTACTGTACTTAAAATAGAAGATATCCCTCCTATCCAATTGTACTTTGTACTGTCAATCATCCTCTCTCCACCCTTCCCATTCCGCATTTGTGTGAAGAATAAGTGAAGTTTTCACCCTTTCCCTAGAAAGAGTCCCATAGTCTCAAAGGTCAGCCATTGTCCTTCTGAATATTCTGCTACATAACACTAAATTGTATAAACATAAAATGAGGAGAGAAAAAGGAAATAGTTTGCATATACAAATAAACACATGCCTATTAGGAAAGAGAAAATACATCAAGCTGCTAGAGTCCCCATTTCTGTAATTGGTCATAAGTTCCAAGTTGGATACTATGGTTCCTTCTTTAATTATTCAGGTCATATTTACCTGGACATCACCTAGAATCTTAGATAACTAGAATTTTACCTGGCGAAATGAAGCCAAACTCCATTCCTGAAGGTCAGCCATCATCCTGCTGTCTTTTAGTTACTGTAGTCTTCCACTGGCCTTTGCCATTGGGCTTGGAAGTAGTCAGAGCTACCTGGCAGAACCCCTGGGTTCCCATAGACCATTCTTGCCCCTACTCATAGTGGGGCCCACTTTCCTCCTACTCAAAAGAATCAATGACTCTTGCCAGTAGAGTTATCCTTTTGTCTACAGTTTGTTCAGTGGCATGAAAAGTCTACAATGGCCAGGTGACAGTCTCATCTTCCAATACAATGAAACCATTGTTGTGTCACCTGGAGGAAGAATTTCTCCCTTGGGAAATAAGACCTCCAAATCAGCAAAGCTCAAATTGGACAAGATGGGAAGCAAAAGTTCTACAAATGGGTTATTCAATAGAGTAGGGAGAAGAACAAGATCCAATTCCACTCCTTGGTTCTGACTCATCTGTTCGGGCTATACAGGAGACAGCACCACATAATGGTCTCTGATTAAAGTACATCCTGCTTCCTATAAAATAGAACCTCATTTTTTAAGGATGTGATCTCTCAAGTAATGCCTACATGAAGTTATTGGTTAATTGATTGATTGTGGAACTGGGGATTGAACCCAGGGCCTAATGCATGCTAGAGCCAAGCATTCTACTATCGAGCTATATCCTCAGCAGCATCCCCAGCCCCCACTGACCTTTTTTGTTACCAGAGATCAAATCCAGGGTCACTTCATAACTGAGCCACATTCTCCAGCCCATTTTATGTTTTTATTTTGAGACAGGGTGTCACTAAGTTGCTGAGGCTGGCTTTGAACTTGCAATCCTCCTACCTCTGCCTCCTCAGCTGCTGGGATTACAGGCATGTGTCACCATGCCCAGCTTCTTGGCCCTTTTTAAAAGTTTGAGACAAGAGTTTTTGTAAATTACCCATGCTGGCCTCAAACTTGGAGTCCTCCTGTCTCAGCCTTCTGAGTAACTGGGATTACAGGCATGTGCCACCACCCTGATTAAGTGTGGGTTGTTTCTTCTCCCTAATGCACAGTTACTCTAGTAAACGGGCACTGTCCCTTTATCAAGGAGACTCAAACTTCTCTTCAACTGAAGGACTCTGGATATATGCTGACTTGGGTCTGGAAACTGGGAGAGGGACCATGAATCTCCATTGTGGCAACTCAAGTTGGGCTTTTGGCTACCAGGGTAAGATTTCATTCTGTTATATAAATCAAACAATTATTTGGTGGCTGCCCATCCATTTAATCCTAGGAAGGTGGTGAAGAGTTATCCACTGCCAAAGATGGTTACTAGGATGTCCCTGCTGCCCTTTAACACATGCACCTATCTCATCTTGGGTGACAATGTGCTTGATCTCTTCTGTTTCAGGTTCCCATCATACCACTGACATTTCGTTGGTGGCAACCCTGTGGTCATACCTTGCTTACACAAACACTGAGCAACAGCAGGGCATTTCAGAAATACAGATGTTTTCCTCAGTGATCTATTTCTCAATGCCTTCATGAAAGAAGTATCTTCTAGGTCTTCTCATCGAAAGTATTTAAGGGATGATTATGTCAGTTGCACATGATGTAATCTCCATAATATTGGAGATTAACTCCAGCATTCCTATTCCCTTAACCCTTCAATTCCCTCCTCCAAATCTTGGCAGGGAAGCTCTGGCATCTCCATTAAAGTTATGCCATCGTTGAGGGCATTTTTTTTCAGTAAACTGAGTAAATTGTTAGAACCACCTCCAACTGCATGAGCTAACATTAAACACAGACTTCTAGTAAGTGCACCGATGTCCAAGACTTCAACCCAATATAGTGCTCTGTTTTGCTCTACTTAGTCTAACACCCTTTCATACGCATTGCCCAGCGTTCTGTCCACATATTTTAGTAGTCTTGCAGTTATTTTGTTGTGTAAGTTATTTCTTTCTAGATGATACCATGTGTATAAACCTCAACCCTCCAGAGCGTCCTAAGATTTTACTCTTGGAAGATTAAATGTTTTAGGTTTTTTTTGGCTCTGGGTATTGAACCCAGGGGTGCTTAATCACTGAGCCACCCTTTTGAGATAGGGTCTTCTTAAGTTACTTAGGGCCTCACTAAGTTGCTGAAGTTGGCCTCTAACTAGCAATCCTCCTGCCTCAGCCTCCCAAGTTGTAGGGATTACAGGCCTTAGTCACCACCTCTGACTTCAAAGATTTAATGGCAACATTTGTGGTAATCTTGAGGAGAACGCTTTTTTTCAAGGAATATGTTGCTGATGAAGTTGTTACAGAGATTTCTAACAAAGAACCTCAGATATTAGAAGGCAAGGCAAGATATTCTTCTTTTTTAACATTTATTTATTTATTTTTAGAAATAGTTGGACACAATACCTTTCTTCTTTTTTTTTTTTAAAGAGAGAGTGATAGAGACAGAGAGAGAGAGAATTTTTTAATATTTATTTTTTAGTTTTCGGCGGACACAACATCGTTGTTTGTATGTGGTGCTGAGGATCGAACCCGGGCCGCACGCATGCTAGGCGAGCGTGCTACCGCTTGAGCCACATCCCCAGCCCCCCTTTCTTTTATTTATTTATTTTTATGTGGTGCTGAGGATTGAATCCAGTGCCCCACACGTGCTAGACAAGCACTCCACCACTGAGCCACAATCCCAGCCCCAAGGTCTCCATCATCATCTCCTCCTCCCCCTCCTCCTCCCCCCTCCTCCTCCCCCCTCCTCCCCCCTCCTCCCCCCTCCTCCCCCCTCCTCCCCACCTCCTCCTCCTCCTCCCCACCTCCTCCTCCTCCCCCCCTCCTCCTCCTCCCCCCCTCCTCCTCCTCCCCCCTCTTTGTGGTAACGAGGATTCAACAGAGACACTTTGCCACCGAGCTACATCTCCAGCCCTTTTGTATTTATTTATTTATTTATTTTATTTTATTTTATTTTTTTTAAAGACACAACATCTTTATTTGTATGTGGTGCTGAGGATCGAACCCAGGGCCGCACGCATGCCAGGCGAGCACGCTACCACTTGAGCCACATCCCCAGCCCTGTATTTATTTATTTATTGGGTGCCAGGGATTGAACTCAGGGGCACTTGACCACTGAACCACATCCTCAGCCCTATTGTGTCCATCTATAACTAAAAAAAAAAAAAAATTAAAAAAAAATTCTCTCTCTCTTTAAAAAAAAGTTAACAACAACAGCAAAAATCAACAACCAAAATCAAAAAAGCAAAACCATGAAACTTCAGCCCAGTTAAGACATCAAACAACTGTGTGATAGGGTGATAGGGCAGGTCAGGGATAATCAGCTTCTATTTCTAATAGAAATTCATAGAACTGATGATGGCTAAGTCTATACAAGCAAACAAAGTTCACAACACTGGTTCAACATCATATGACAGATTTTAAATTTCTTGCAAAATGTGGTGAACTAATGAAAAACAATTATCAGAAGTTTTAAACATGGCCAGGCATGATGGCGCACACCTATAATCCCAGTGGCTTGGCCAGTCTCAGCAATTTAGCGAGGCTCTAAGCAACTCGGTGAGAACTTGTTACCCCTGGATTCAATTCCCGGTAACAAAAAAAAAAAAGAAAAGAAAAAAAAGTTTTAAACATTTTACATTTTAGTAAGCTTTGTACATTTGTCCAACTAAGGCTTTCTCTCCTTTACATATTTTTACCAACATTACTTTTAACACATCTTTGTAGATTCCACTTTCATTCATACTGAATTAGTATTTTCTCAGTTTCTAAAAGAATATTCTTGGGCTGGGGTTGTAGCTCAGTGGTAGCTCACTTGTAGCTCACTTGCCTCGCATGTGTGAAGCACTGGGTTCGATTCTTAGCACCGCATATAAACAAATAAATAAATAAAGATACATTAATAACTTATAAAAATATTTTTTAAATAATATTCTTTAAGACTATCCATAGAGACTAATTTTGGGGTCATTTCAGTTTCAACATTGGTTCTTCAAATAAACAACTCTAGCTGAGCAGTATTGATAAAATCTGTTAAATCAAGAGTCAAGAAAAATCAAAATAATTCACCTTTTAAATTGTTATTGATGTTTCTCTTGATTTCTTCAACTCTTTGAGCAACTGTTCTCACATAAGAGTTTTGAACAGTTTATCTTCTCTGGATACTGTAATCAAGAGTAATTTAATCAACTCACCATCAAAGAGTTTTGCTCAACTAGCCACTTGGAATCTGACTTTTGTTGTAGTCACTTTGTTTTTCTGTTTTGTTTTGTTTTCAGGCTGGGATTGAAACTATGAGCACACTACCAATGAGCCACATCCCCAGAGTCATTTTTATTTTTTGTTTTGATACAAAGTCTTGAGATACAAAACTTGAGATCCTCCTGCCTCAGCCTCCTGAGTAGCTGGGATCACGTACATATATCACCACTTGTATCTCACTTTTTTCATTTTTTAATTTTTGTGAAGAATTTCTCCTGTGGTTAAATATTCTATTTCAATTTCCTAAATTTTTTGACTGTTGCCTTCCTATGAATTAGGAATATTATGATGAGTGCTTAGTCTGGTAAAGTCAATGTGTATTATATCCTTCTAGCATCTCTATAATGTTTGTTGTGTAATAAACACAAGGACTTTCCATTGAATTTAATTACAAAATAACCTACTCTTTGAGTGCTACTTTTCTTTATTGACATGATGGGTATGAATTGGTGTTTGGGGGAAAAGGTTGCAGTATGATGCCATGCATGGCGTTTGAAACACTGTCATGTTAAATTGTGCTACTGTGATTTTCAGTGCCCCTTGGATCAGTATGAAGTGGTGAGAACACCAGCACATACAGTCTCTTCAGCAACTGTGGAAGTCATTGTTGTAGCTCAAGAACAGCAATAGACAATTGTGGCTGTCTCTGATAAAATTTTAATAGATGCTAACGTTGGAATTTCATGAAATTTTCATGCGCCCTTCTTCTTTTGATATTTTAAAAATATCTTTGTTTCATTTTTTGTATGTGGTGCTGAGGATGGAACCTACTGTCTCACGCATGTGAGGTGAGGGCTCAGCCACTGAGCCCTAGCCCCAGCCCCTCTTTTGATTTTATAAAACCAATCAACTGGCTGAAAAAAAAACATTGTTGGTTCACAAACCATTAAAAAAAAAAAAAAAAAAAAGAACAGACAGTTGGCTGGATTTTGCCCACAGGCCGAGGCCGAGCCCTGAATGTAAACTCAGTACACTTATCCCTAAATAGTTAAGGATCTATATTGTTAAGTAGAGTGCAATGTTTCTTTACACTTTTCTTCTTTTGAGGTATAAGTCGCGTACAATGTTCTAGATTTTAGTAGGGTGTGGTGGCACATGCCTGAAATTCCAGCAATTTGGGAGCCTGAGGCAGGAGGATGGCAAACCTGAGGCTCTGAGGCCAACCTCAGCAACTTAGTAAGGCCCATCTCAAAATAAAAAATAAAACGGATGGGGATATAGCACAAAGGTAGAGTGCCCCTGGAGTCAGTCCCCAGCACCACCCACGCACACACACATGCACACACACACGCAAATGTTGTAGAGTTCATATAAATGCAGTCATGCACTCTTTTATGTCTGGCTTCTTTCACTCAGCACAATTATTTTGAGATTATTCCATGTTGTTTGTAAGAATAGCTTAAATCATGGAGTAAATACTCCATATTGTGAAATTTTCACAGTTTGCTTATCCATTCATTTGTTGATAGACATTGGATTGTTGCCAGTTCGGGGCTATTCTAAATAAAATTCCTGTTAGTATTCATGTACAATCTTTACATGGGCATATGTTTTCTTTTTCCTTGACTGGTGCATATTGTAGATATATGTCTAACTTTTTAAGAAACTGCCAAACCATACCTACCTCCAATGCATGAGGGTTCGGTTGCTTTAAATCTTTATCTGCACTTGACATGGTTAATAACTTTTTTTTTTTGGTAGTGGGGAATGAACCCAGGGTTGCTCTACCATTGAGCCACATCCCCAGCCCTTTTTATTTTTTTGAGACAGGATCTCACTAAATTGCCTGGGCTTGCCTCAAATTTGTAATCCTCCTGCCTCAATCTCCTGAGTAGCTGAGATTATAGACATGCATCACCACACTTAGATATTATTATTACTGTTGTTGCCATTATTATTTTTATAAATATTCTCAGTTGACAGCTTATTTTTTATTTCACTGGAAATCTTTTAAACAGCATATGTTTTTGACTTTAACAACATATAATTTGTGGATTTGTTCCTGATCTATTGTAGTTTGGGTGTCAAATCTAAGAAATCTTTCCCTAAACAAAAGTCACAAAGATTTCCTCCTATTTTCCGACTCCTCCATGTCTTCCTCCTCAGACCCCATTTCTTGTCCTCCTGTTGTTCTAGACAGAGTCTTGCTATGTTGCTTAGGCTGGTCTTAAATTCCTGGGTTCAAGGGAACCCCCTGTTTTAGCCCTGTGAGACACTGGGACTACAGGGTAAATTGTAATTATGCATGATAGTGGGATTTATTGTTACTTAGTTGTACATACACACAATGTAACATATAATTTGGTCAATATTATTATTTTTTTAGTTGTAGTTGGACACAATACCTTTATTTTATTTATTTATTTTTACATGTGGTGCTGAGGATTGAATCCAGCGTCCTGCACTTGCTAGGTGAGTGCTCTACTGCTGAGCCACAACCCCAGCCCCGATATTATTCTTTTTAAAAATATTTTATTTGTTCTAATTAGTACAGTTGATTTTTTTATATATATTTTTAATTTTTTTAATATTTATTTTTTAGTTATCAGCGGACACAACATCTCTGTTTTGTATGTGGTGCTGAGGATCGAACCCGGGCCGCACGCATGCCAGGCGAGCGCGCTACCGCTTGAGCCACATCCCCAGCCCAGTACAGTTGATTTTTGCACATTGAGTTTGTATTCTACAATCTTACTAAAACCAACCTTAGTTCTCATAGCATTTTTTTAGATTCCACTGGACTTTCCGCACACTGATTGGGGGTCTGTGTGGGGAATCTCTGGGAAATTAGACAGTTTTCCTTCTTCCTGGGTAAATCTGTTCCCTGTTAATCCATTTTAGAAACAGAACTCTTCCACACAATTTTTATTTTTTATTTATTTTCACCAAAATCAGCTCTGTGGCTATAAAAAACCAATAAATACTCTTAGGACTGCCATGGGATCGCTCTTGTTCTCAGATCAGGACATGAGCTGGGAGTTCAAGAACCTGAACTTGTCATGTTCATTCTGGAGCCATCTAGTGCCCTTAGAAGAGCCCCCTAGCCCACAGCCCTGGTGGTCAGCACTGCTGACCTAACAGGTGCAGTAGCCCTTTGGCTCCCAAGGCGCCTGCTTTATTTGGTTGTTCAACAAAGTAAGCAAAGGCTCGACTGTGATGTCACTATAAAGTGTGGATCACTAACCTCACATTTCCACTGTCAAGGAACTCAGCACCACACTCACATTGAAGGTGAATATTTAATATATTCACTTATATTCAAGGGCACGACCAAAATGACTTCCAGGTTCTTCCCTTGTAGCTCTACATGTGGGCTACACACCTGGTACCAGTTCTTCTTTCTGCCTTTCTCAAAGGCAGAAACCACAGAGTCATTTATTTTCTTAATAAGAGACAGAAGTTTGCTAGATGCCAGGCTGAATGTCCTGCCTCAGTTCCCCAAGCAGCTGGGACTATAGGCATGAACCACTGTGCTGGCTGCACATGGTAATTTAAACAGGGAAGGTTTAGCAGGAAGAATAATGAACTAACTCAAACCTAGAGGCTCAGGAGGCTGAGGCAGGAGGATCAGCAACTTAGCGAGACATTGTCTCAAACTTTTAAAAAAGCCAGCCTCAGCAAGTTAGCAAGGCTCTAAGCAACTCAGCAAGACCATCTCTAAGTAAAATATCTTAAAGGACTGGGATGTAGCTCAGAGGTAGGGTGCTCTCAATCACCAGTGCCACAACCAAAAAAAGAAAAAAGCTCTTTACAAGGATACTACTAACTGTGAATAAGAGAGAAACAAAACAAAACAAAACCTGTGGTGGAGCACTTGCCTAATATGATGAGGCCCTGAGTTCCATCCCAAGCACCGCGGTCAGGAGGGAGAGCCATACCACACACACACGCGCGCCCCAAAGCTAAGGGAGGACCCAGGTAAAGCAAACCTGAGAGGGCAGGTGCCCTCCCCAAGGCTGGGATTCAGACCCCAGTGGAGAGGTGTGACTGCAGGCCCACACTGGCCCACAGCCAGCAGAAAGAGGCTGGTGGTCAGGGAATTGCAAGCAGGAAACCTTCCCACTGAAGTGCTGTCTGGCAGGGAGCAGGGGCCTGAAGGCCACTGGGCGTCCCAGACAGGGGTGCCTGTCCCCAGGGTGAAGGAGGCAGCAAAGAAAACAAGACCAAGAGAAGCCTCTTTCTTCCTGCTGCATCCCTCTGATGCCCTCTACTGGGAAGAAATAGTTACCAATTTCACTTCTAGTAGCAAGCAGAGGAAGAAATGGGTACCAGACCAAAAGGCAATAAATTGATAACTGGCGTGAATAAGTACTCAGGAAAAAAGAAAAGAAAAACAAAACAGTTTCACTTCAGAATGTCCTTTTTTAAAAAAATATCTTTATTTTATTTATGTGGTGCTGAGGCTCAAACCCAGAGCCTTGCACTTGCTGGGCAAGCTCTCTTCCACTGAGCCACAACCCCAGTCCCAAAATGCCCTTTTTATTTTTTTTTTATTTGGTACTGGGGATTGAATCCAGGGGTGCTCTGTCACTGAGCTACATCCACAGTCCCCTCTACCTTTTGAGACAAGTTTCTCTAAGTTGCTGAGGCTGAGGTCTCCAACTTGCAATCCTCCTGCCTTAGCCTCCAGAGTCACTGGGATTACAGGTGTGAGCCACTACACTGGGCTTCCCCGATATTGTTAACTAACTTTTTAAAATATTTATTTTTTAGTTGTAGTTGGACATAATACCTTTATTTTATTTATTCATTTATTATTTATTTTTATGTAGTGCTGAGGATCGAATCCAGGGTCAAGCATGTGCGAGGTGAGTGCTCTACTGCTGAGCCACAACGCCAGCCCCTTAACTAACTTTTGAAAACAACTCTGTCAAATTGTATGGTAGTATATCCACAGTTATTTGAAAAATACCCTTCCTTTTCCAACTATATATCTGTGTGAGGCTGGATTTTCTTTGTACTTCAACTAAAACAATACGCAAACCATATTGTACGCAAAAGCATATATAAGAATTCAGCTTTTATTAGGCAAGACATTAAAGAGATTTGCAAAAAGATAACATGTAGTTAATTTGCTATCTGTATTTTTATTTATTATTATTATTATTCGGTACTGATGGTTGGAGTGCTCAACCACTGAGTCACATCCCATCCCTTTTTATTTTTGGAGACAGGGTCTCACTAAGTTGCTTAGGACCTCGCTAAGTTTCTGAGGCTGGCTTTGAACTTTCGATCCTCCTGCCTCAGCCTCCTGAACCCCTGGGATGCACCATTACACCTGGCAGACTAGAATTTTAAAATATTTGTCTCTGTTTCTCTGGGACCCTCCATCTCAGGCAGGCAAGCCGGGGAGAGGTGGGCTGTGGGGAAGTTGAGAGCCATGGAGAAAGGATCTCAGAGGTTGGCGGGGATCAGTCTCATTTTCAAGAAGAGGCCCATCTTGAGGAAGAGGTGGGTTGAAGAAATAGAGCTCTGTCTCTACCTAAGAGGGCTCAGAGAGCAACAGTCCGGAGGCCAGAGGGCCACGGGGCAAGGGGAGCCTGCAGAAGAGGGTCTCCGAGCGCTGACCATCACTTTGTGGGTGGTGCTAAATTCAGCTGAGCGCTGGGCACGAGTGGAAGCTTTGCCTTCAGGAAGAGAAGCTGATGGGATTCTCCTTG